TGAGAGAGAACCTGTGAAAACATTATAGCCACATTTAAAGTCACATTTAATTGCTGTAATATTCTGAAAACATTTTTTTTGTACGATTGAACCGCACAGTCTGGGTTAAGTGTAATTTAGACAGAAAATAGATATGCTTGAGAATAGTGATTTGGGAAGAAAAACTTGGGATGTCTAAAGACAAAAAAATATTAAATCTATTAAATTATTTTTATATTAATACGAAAATGCACAAAAGTTGTGATCTGTTTTATTTAGGTCCAAACCTTCACAGCAAAACACTAAAAAGTTTCACTGCTATGATTTAATAAATAAGTACCTTGAAGTTTGCAGGGTCCACTCTCAGAGTGAAGGCGTGCAGCTCACTGAGGCTCAGAAGAGCTCCGATCAGATCATCAATTTTGCTGACAGCATCAGTAACTGCAGCCATCACGGTTGCTCCGTGCTTCCTCACCGGGTCAGAACCGGGACTCAGGTCCTTCCAGTGGGAGAAGTAAGTCTTGGTCTGGGGGTACACTGTCAGCATAGGTAAAATGTAGGTTAAGTAAATAGTAGGTAAAAAATGCAGCAGAGGGTCTGTCCAGTTGGGGTCATAGGTTGTAAATCATAAGGCATAATTACCTGGAGACAGCATCACAACCGATGTCCTCCTCCCTGCCAGCCACTTTAGCCCAGAAAGTTTGGACTATGTTCTTGTCCTTTTCGGAAAGGGATGTCATGTTGCCTGTTTTTGTTTTGTTTTTCGCTTTTCCTGATCAGCTCAAACTACGGGGGCTTTTATACATGAAACAAGCAATGGACACACCCGGGCCACCTCAGAGATATGACCACAAGGTTCTGCTCGAGATAAACGCAAGATAAAATTGCGATGGTGGCTCTGAAGACCAGTCCGTAAGCCAGTCTCAAGGCAGTGTTTATTTATTCATTTATTTAATAAATTAATTCAATTAATCCAACTGAATACTAAAAGTTTGCAGTTTTAAAACCCAAAACATAGATTTCCAGTGACAGTGATTGTTGTCTTTGAGTCTGTTGCTGTTCATATTAATGTGGTGCTGAAATAAGTCA